TTGCTGACGTTTAGACCACTATCGTTTGTGGCTATTCATGCATGACATTGTGTCCATTCCTAAAAGCCTCACAGGAAGAGGAAGTGAAGCAATAGAGCATGATAGAAAAAAGAACCTGGAGGTCTGGGGCTAAATGGAGCAGAGCACCTAGGCCCCCCTAACTGACCGCTATATCACTACTACAAACATTGTTTCTCTTCCACCTCAAAAGATTAGTCAAAAGGCCAGTGGACGTGGTTGAGTGGTGATGAATTGAACCTGTGAGATGATTGGGTCGTTGGAGGATTTCCAGCTGAGAATGAGGGCAGATGCTCAAGTTAAAACTCAAGTAGTTATGGCAACCGAGTAGTAAAAGGTGTTTAGTTTCTCCAGTTTGGGCTACTGTAAAAAAACATGGCGGCCTCCGTAGAGAGGACCCCCTCCCTATGTAAATATAAAGTATATAAATATAGAGGGCCCATTGTAGGGTTAAGAAAACAATTCTTACAATTTAGAGAATTACACATTAGTAAAAACATCACTAGGATTATTTTATATAAAATGTTCACTCTTTCACCTAAATCTTACACACTGGACCTTTAAAATCCACAAACATGACGCCCACTACTGAAAATGTATTATTGACAAAGGTCAATAATAATAATAGAATCTGATCCTCCATTGCTTTTGAGAGAGGAAAGGCTCATCGTGATCAGAATCTGAACAAAATCTGAGCAAGCTGACACTTCCAATAAGCTATTACTGATTTCAGCAATGGTGGAATCAGGTGCAGATTTTTCAAATTGACAGAAATGTCTTTAAGTGCATATCTGTTTCAATAAACAGATACTGTATGTGTATCGATAATCAACAAACAGCCATTTTCTAAAGCGGATCAGGTTTGAACATTGTTACCCATCAATGCCTCATCAATGCCTTATTCAGGTATTGATAGGTATAGATGAGAAATCTGAGCAAACACGTAACACAAAAAGAGTGGATGTTGCATGAATTACATTTCTGTAATTGAAATGGAAAATGACTGTGCAGTGCACTGGATAAAGTAAAGCCCCCATCAGACAGGATTTATCTCCAGGGGGGGGGATGATGACTTTAATATTGCATATGCAGATCAGTATTTTCCCATTAAAGTGCATATGGTGTTACATCATCCTCCTACATGCTTTGGTCATTTAAAATTTCCAAAGCCCAGTGTTTTTAACTTCCTCTGACCATTTAGGTGAGAGTTATTGCTTTTTACATGGAGGAATACATTTCGCGAGCTCACGCCACAGGAAACAGTTGTCCATTATTTATCAATTAATGTGCAAATATTTTTGACAAGTACAATTGCTATTGTGTGATTGCTCCAGTGTTTTCACACATTCAGAATTATGTTAAAATCACTGCCATCACCTCTTTCTGCTGCAGAATCCAAAATTGCAAACCTTAGCCCTCAGGAAGAGGAAGAATGAGCATTGCATCAAAAGAAGATTAACAATAAAAGAAGAACACCTTATTATGACATGTAGTGTATCACGCTATCTGCTGTCATAAACCAGTGTTTCATATAATGCAGACTCTTAGGTTTGCTTTGCAGCATTCAGACATCTCACATATATGGATTATTCCACATCTTGTACAGTGTATTGATTTTCCTCTGGTTAGAATGTCACAAAGGTTTTTCCATTTGCAGAAACTTCACAGATTCATATTTGCTAACATGAACTCTGACAAACACGCTCAGAATCTGTTACAGGAGAACCTCTCTTCCTCCACGCACGAGCACACACACACACACACACACACACACACACACACACACACACACACACACACAGTGTTTACAGTGAAGCCTTGCTCTTGATCAAAGCACAGTATATATGTTCTGCTATCAATACATCGGCTACCCTCTGGCCTTCCCACTTGCACCAGTGCTGCTGTCATAGCAACAATGCATCCATGCTGCAGGCGCAAAATCAAAATCACTTTTTGATCACTGAGGAGCATGGGAACCAATGATGCATAAAACATGAGGCGAGGCAAAACGGGAGAAATTGAGATAGAGAGGCCAGAAAGAGATATAAGTAAACTTCAAGTTGGCAAGAAGAAGGAAGTGAAGAAGGAAGTGATTGGAGTGAAAGAGAAAGGCATGAAGAGTAAAAGCAACATGAGACAAATGTGTGGAAGGAATAAATGAGGAGTGGGTGATAAGGCAGAGACTCAGCGTGAGAGGAGCAAGAAGGAACATGTGTGAGGCTACCTGAGCACATGCAGCTCAACATCAAACTCAGCTCATCCATCAAGACTCCAGATCATTCACTTAACAATGTGGTGCAGACGCCACAAACAAGTTTTGCCCTGTTTTCATCCTCATCTTAACCCAGATGATTTACTGCTTTTGCATCAGGTCCCCAATTCCTGCTCACCTGATGCCCTGCCCTGTCCTTGTCAGCTGTTACCAGTTTGTATTACTTATCTCCAGCGTGCTCTGCCCAGCCAGCTCCAGACTTTTGGCCCCGTTTTGCTGCCTTCACTGCTGTGTTGGTCTCAGACCCCCTGAGCCAAAGCCAAACCTCAAACCTTTCCAGCCAAGCCACAACCACAACCTACTGCATGTAAAGTTGCAAAAAACTGCTTTTAAATTGTTCCCCGACTCCGGCTCTGTGGATACTGAATTGAACAGCCGTACCAGAATGATGGTGCCGGCAACGATGAATCAGCAGTAACCTGCTTGCTGTGCCTCAGCGAACCGCTGCGTTTACAAACTGGAGGCATCGCAATCATATTCATATGTCTTTCTGTGCGAGTCATGACTCGCACAGTCCTGAGGTTCATTCACTAATCATTTAGCCAACAGTCATCATGGCAGACTTGATATGTGCGGAGAGGCACCATCATTGAGATGTGCACATGCAGAGCCAGGCATAAAGTGTTTAATAACGTTTCATGCAAGTTTTTGATTAGTTTTGATTTTCTGTGATGAGCGGATGGATGGATGGACGAAAGAACAAATCACAGATGGCCTGGATCTATCTTACGGGGAAACAGAAATCGCTTCCTTAATTTTTGGGAACTATACCAACGGCTTGTGTTTTAACTTCTCTGTGGGTGTGTGTGTGCATTTCAGTGAAAGCAGACCTACAAACCCACTTGGGAGAGCGATGTGCAGTGCTGACTATTATGTGTGAGTCATGAATATTCTAGATGCCTAACTGCATCCCACAATGTTGAGGATTTCCCTCAGCAAGCCTGAAGGGAAAACTTGCAAGAGTCGGAGGAGGACATCGATGGAGTGAGAGGGACGAAGAACAGGTTCAAACTGTTTCAAACAAATGAGAAGATCTGCTTTGTGTTATAGAAGATTCATGTACCACTCAGCTCAGTCCTCAGCTGTGGGATTGAAAAAAATTAGGTATAAAGTGTATTGGCGGTTTGACCCCAAGCTCTTCCAGTCTGAAGTGTTCATGGGCAAGACACTGATATCCAAATTTTTCTCTATTTTTGTGACCAGTTAATGACTTTTTTTTTTTTTTTAATTAAAAGGCCTAACTATGTCTCTGTTATGTCCGAGGGTCCCTGAGTAATAAAATATAAAATATGAAAAGTTTTAATGAGTGATACCAGCATGTCAATCCATTACAGGAACAGTTAACCTCATTTTTCACAATTTTCTAAAAGGCATTTTTGAAACGACGGTTGCATTTTGAGATACAATCAGCTTCCTTTGCTTTAGTAACGTTTTAAATCTCCTTCTATCACATTTACTACTAAAGAGTGAATTGGATTTTATATATAACATAAATCAAGTTAATGATAAAGAGCGCATCATACAAACTGCATCAGCCATTGACCAGTTTGCTAAATATAGATGATCAGCTTGAAAAGAGGTAACTTGCTGCATCTGAACGTTGTGTATTTGTATCAGCGTGCACACCTGCCAGGCTGATGCATTGGAAGACATGAGCAGGCGAGTCTGTATTCCACACGCGTTGAACAGAGCATGAAATTCATGAATGAAGCATGAACAACATATCAAGGCTGTTGTGCAATGTGCAAATCTCCAAACCACCGGGTGTTAGTTTACAACAGATCTGGATATTGTATTCTTCGAAAAAATCTTTCAGCACATCAATGCAAACGTGTAAGTATCCGATTATGTTGCCTCTCAGCTCCGAAACATGTATGGTTTCTTTTCTTTGTGTAAATCATCTCATGCACAATGGTCCATTCAGTTGTAAAAATGTGTCAGGCATCCCTCGTCGTTTCCAATAAAGATGATTAAATTATTGTTGAGAACATTGAAACAGATCAGCAGCAGCACCAGATAGTCACAAGAAAAACTGGATACGTCATAGAGTCCAAACACAACAGCATCAGCGTCCATTCATCTTCACTTTGTTAAGTGAGTAACAGGCGCTGTGGCGTGGCCCTTTGATTTGCTGATCGTTTAAGATAAATTAATTCAGCCCACAGGACACTGACTTTTGAGCAGAGACAGAGGATGTGCAAACAGTGAGTAGAGTAAAGTGCTACTTCAGCTCCAGTGAAGAGGGTGATCGGCTGTGACAGCGTCAGGAATTAGCATGAAAGATGTGGATTATTTACTCCATCATTCATTTTCTTTGATGTGTGGAGGAAACATTGGGACTGAGGAGACTAAAATACATTGTCCGAATGTTCCAATATCACAAGATGACAAAATCATTCATTTTGTGCTGCTTGCTTTAAATAATATCACGTGTTTCCACTTTCTCCTTCAAACTTTTGTCATCTAATCCAATATTTCTTCAATTCTTCATACTTCAGTGGTGATTAATGGTGATTTCCTTTTGGATTTTGTCAGATCAAGCTTGACCACATTTTCTGAACATGTAGGAATCTGGCCTGGTAAATAATGAAAAGAGGGTAACTGGAGGAGGAGGAGTGAGGACCTGTGGTGAGAAGAGATGAAGAGACAGACACAGAGACACAGTACAAAGACACAGATCGGGCTCAGAAGACATGTAATTAGCTCTGACCTTATAATGGCAGAGGCTGGTCGCCAAGTGCAGCCCAATGTAAACTGTGCTGTGGTGTTTTCAGTCATCCAAACATTCTGCAGGGAAAACAGGTTTGTTCTCAGTGAATATGTAGTTTAGTTATCGCAGTATAGCACATTCAAATAACAGAATCTAAAAGAATTATCTTTTCAATTAAATCAGAAGTAGAATGTCTTCATAGAGCGTATACCTCTGCCAAGGCTCAACAGTCCCCTTCACTTCCATCAAGTTGCACCAAATTTCACACACTCATACATATCAGCCCTTTTAATTTATCAACATCCACAAATTGTTAGAAAACAGATTTTGAAACTGGACTCATACTGCAACCCTCCACCAAGTTACGCTGTAAGGGTGGAGACATAACCCCGTTGGTCGAGGTAACAAAAATCAATGCATGTCTGAAACTGTAAGAAACACTCTGTCCTGTACAGCACAGACATATAGTGTACTATAATCTGTTTGTTTATTCCAATGTGTAGGAGTAGACGACTGCCTTGTGCTGAGCAGCAATTTGAACACCTCAACAAGAGCAAGAGAGCTGCAACACTGTGATAATGAATAATGCTATTACACAACCCAGAGTACAACCATAGTAAACAAAGGCCTCATTAAAATGTATCAAATCTGTGAGCATCTTTACAATAGAGCCTCAGATGAGCACACAATGAGAAGAAGTACCAGGTAAATCAATGGTGTGTGTTAAACCTAAAGTATGGTGGGGTGTTGTGGGGTTTCTTTACAGCAAACATCATTCTTGGAATTGCAGATAATCGTATGGTCATAGTGAAAGTAGTTTGAGATTTTATTTGAGAATAATGGAGCTGGAGCAATGTTAGGTCCCTTGTGTTTTTGTGGATGAGGCTGGTTTAAGTCTGACTATGGAAAAGAAATGTTTCTTAATGTTCCTCAGTGTGTGTGTGAGTAATATGTCCTGCAGGCAAACAGGACTGGGTTTTCCACATGATGGCTCATTCATTCCAACATATTCAGCTTAAGAAGAAAAAGAAAAATACCTTAAAACAATATACAAGTAACCTCTTCTTAGAAAGAAAAAGAAAGAAAATAAATGTTTGGTCTAAGTTAGAAATGGACAACGTTTTGGCAGCTGACGTTTATTTATGACTGTATTGAATGAGCTATTTGAGATAGCTCTTTCCAGGGGAGGAAAGCAATGCACTGTGGGTAATATATATCTTATTATCTCATATCTCATTGTATGAGTCTCTTCTCCACTGTGACTTTCTTCCCAAAAGTGATGCCAAAGCGTCTTGATCCCCACCTGGTGGCTGGCTGCAGTATTGGTCATAAATCCTTATAAATTAAAAGTATGTTCTTATCAGTATTAGTTGTGATATCAGTTCAAGTGTTTGTGGTAAATTTAGCTTCAATTAGTTATTTGATACTATAAAAGCGGGTTGAAACATATCGGCATGACTTTGCTACTGCTATTTATATTTGGGCTTCATTTAGTGTACTGTCAATGTTCATGCTCGAAGAGATGATGAATTCATTGCAGGTGGATTTCATTATGATTCAGAGTCGACTGTCAGCAAAGTGACTCAGTCTCATCACAAAAGAATTTTTTTTTTTATGTTTGTATATTAACTTACCAACCAAGTGAAATGCTTTGGGAATGGCAGTTTATTATTCCCACTAGATATTGATTGAGTTTATTAACTATGACTCAACAGTGAATCCAGGCAAGGACTCACAGTCAATAATAATAACAGCTCCTTATACAGTACATAACATATTATAACATGGGTCAGCTGAAAGTTGGCACTGGTTCAGACAACTGAGTGACTAATGCTAACATGTATGACTTGTTTACTTGCTACACATACAAATAACACATGTATGTACATAGTGAGACATCCTGCATTTTTGAATCCCTTTCTCTATACTCTCATCCCCTCATTCTTTATCCTTCTCCCCGATGTTCTTCCTTTTCACCGTTTTCTATCCTTCTTTTATTGTGACAGGAACGGATTAATTGATTAAGAAGTTACAGTATGTATTCCATACGTTGCAGAATTTAATCTCAATTGTTCCCAAACATGGCTTCATTTCTCTGCTTTTCTCTGTTCCCTGTGCCCATCTCTAATAATAATAATAATGGAGACATTAATAGGAGGTGGTAAATGTAGCTACTGTATATAAATAGATTATTCACATGAACGTACAGTAAGTTTGAGCATGACTTGTCACAAGCTGCATCCCCAGTGTCAGGGAGCAGGTGTGCTTTCCTCAAAGCTAAATATTGTATGCTCCAGAGAATTACATTGGCAGTCATGCAACAATGCAAGTAAAGCAGCGTGTATATGTGTGTGTGTGTGTGTGTGTGTGTGTGTGTGTGTCGGGGGGGGGCTAAGATTGTTTTCTACATGTACATCCACAACACTTGCACAGCTAATATTAACATCTGAGCATGTGCACCTGAATTACTTGAAATGGAGGCATGCATGGATTTGAATTTTGTGTTCTCCCTTGACTGCACATTATCATTATTATTTTGTTTAGGGAGGGGGGGTAATGCCAACAAACGCTCTGTACTGCTAAACTAGGGCACTGCCTGGCTGCGGGCAAAAAAAAAAAAATAGCAGAAAAACAGAAAAGGGGGGAGAGGTGGAGTAAGTGAGGGGAGCAATGGGGGAGAGGAGTAATGAAGAAATTACATAATGACATAAGATACCATGGAGGGAGTCACTCCCTGCCCTCGTCTGAATGAGCTCCTTACATGATATTGTCATGTCACATCAGACACAGGTATAGAATTTACAGACACACGTTTCACTATAACAATACACTGCTGCAGAATGATGACACGAGAGGTCCCCTGTTATATTCACTTGTAAGCTGCTCAGAGTTAAGACCCTGAGCTCAGTGCCTGCGAATCAGAAATGTAATGATTTTAATGCCAAAAGGCCTAAGAGACATTCATCTGCATTCGCCATCTATTCCACATTAGTCGTGCTGATTCCACTTCTTTATTTAGAACCCTGGGTTGAAAATGTGGGTTTTCTGTGTGATACTGCAGATTTAAGCATGTACAATGTATTACAGGGAATTAATACTATTAATATTGTTTGTATTCACTAGAAAAGGGACCTGAACAAATTCGCATTAGCCTCGCTGGTCGTTAAATCCCAATTTCTTTGTGTCGACTCTGGTTAAGTAGAGGAGGAAAACCTGTAAGAATTCATATACTTCCTTTACATTCATGTAAGGCCAAATCTGCATACACGAGTATCACTATATCACTGTGTGATACTCAGCATTGACTCATATCATATCATGAAAATCTCTCAGACTAAACATACTGTAAGTTTTGCAGCCAACAGTTCCATCATTTTTGCAGACCTGGCCGTAATTTAAATGTTTGTCTCTCATAATTATTTGCCTAATCCACAATAGTGAGAGGTTTGTCCATATTTGAATAAAAATTCTGACATTTTTATGGTCATTTGTTAAACCCCATCTGTAGAATTTTATATACGATTTTTTATTAAAAAATTAATAGAATAAATAATCCTTCTCTCTGTTATCCTCGACACAGTGCACAAGTGGTGCATTAGCATGGTGCTCACAGAACAGATGCCATAACTGTTCTAAAGTTACCAACTCTCAGGACTTGACAACAGATGCAAGACGAGCATGTTATGAAACTCATCATTTACTGTTAAATCTCAGTTAAAAGAAAAAAATGTGTGAAACACTGAAGGAGAGAGAGAGAGAGAGAGACAATGACTATGTGTGAAAAAGATGGACAGTGAGAATTAATGGTCTGTGGGTCAACAGCATCTGTCCCCATCAACAACCTGGAGACAATGACAGAAAAAAAAGGCACATTAAAATAAATAGGAGTTAAAGATAGAGGAGGAGAACGACGGGGCAGAGGCATTGGAGGATGTGAGGAGGGAGAGAGATAAGAGACCTTTGTTTTTTTTCCCTCTCTCTCATCTTCTCACTCATGGCAACGACTAAACTCTGCCTCTGTCATTGCTTTATTCTTTGAGAAGACTCACACCGCAGAAACAGAGGGGGCAAGGCAGCGGGAGAGAAAAAGCAGGACTGAGCGAAAGTGATGAAGAGGGAGCAAATGGAGGATGTGAAGACGCGAGATAAAGACAGAGAGAGCAAGGGTGTAGGGGCAGAAGACAGCACAGATGAAGGGATGTAATTAGTGAGGGAAGAGGAGGAGTAAAAAAAACGAGGTGCAACAGCCTCAGATGAACAGAGGAAAAGGGGAAAAGAGGCTGACGGGGAAGAAAAAAAAGAATTTACACATAAAACAGATGCAAAACACGATAAATGGATATTCCAGCAGGCCGATAGTACAACAGATCTGTAAAGAGATGCAGACACACTGTGAGAGGGCCACATGGATCGTCCCAGCTAATTGCAGGAGGTGGTGCCGTGTGTTAGCACTGGACCCACTCGGGTCTCAACTGATGCCGAAGGCGCTCTGCACCAAAAACTCTTTTACAAACATGCTTGGAAAATGTGACATCAATTAACACTATCTGATTTCCTTCCATCTACTCCAAAGAGGACAATATATGCCTAACAGCTTGAGTGGTGTGCGGCAGGTTTTTAATGGCCGTTCACCAGCACGTTAGGGGCCCAGGAGGTTTAGACGGTCGTGGTTCGATCCCCCGATCCTCCACTTTGCACTTCGAAGTGTCTGCCCAAGATACTGAACCCCAAATTGGCCCTGAAAGGCCGAAAGTGTATGAATGATGTGTGATAGAGAAAAGCTCTTTATCAGTATCATCCAAATAAAATACATTTGATGAATACTATTTCCTACTGAAGCACAGCCCCACCTTCCGCTCCCTCACTGTGAAGTGTATTATCTCACACTGAGACTCTTAACTAACTGCTACTTCAGCTAATTAGCATCCTGAAAATGACGAGATTCGTCAGCCACAATTGCAGTCATTGGAAGATTGCAGGCATGGGCTGGAAAGAGACCCAGATTAGATGTATCTGAGACTCAACACGCATCGGTGCTCTCTTTTAACACCTGTCTCCCCCTAAGGAACAACAAGCG